CACAAGGCAGCAGAAAGTCCAAAGAGATGAGACTCTTCTGCATCCTTCCCTACCCCATCTGTATCAGCCCATTTCAGCAGCTCCATTCGTCCTCCCACAAAAGCTGAAGCACCATGACAGTGAGAACAGGCTCTAACTGTGCCTAGCCTGCACAGCAGGGAATGGGGGTGCAGCTCAGTGGAAGAGTGGGCTTAAAGGCCCTGAGTTCAATCATCTACACCAAACACACACACACACACACACAAAAAAAAAAAAAAAACAAGATTAAAAGAGAAACGTGTCAGACCTCCAGAGCTTGCTGTCGAAAGCCTGGGAGATTTCAAAGGTAACAAACACCCCACTGAAAACCCCAGTTTGCTGCCCATGTCCATCTCAACAATGACACTACCTGTTTCCCATTGCACCATAATAGAGCTGAACCCCAGCTCACCCCGAAGTCCCCCTGAGCTGAGCCATTCACTCTCTTACAGCTTCCCAGGTATCTAATCCTTGTCTCAGAGCCTCCCTCTCCTTTGCCATCAACTTGCACTGCTGCCCAAGGACAAGCATCAAGTCCTCAACCCTCTGGCTTCATTTGTTCATATGGCTTCAAGAAAAGCAAGGCAGGGTAGAAAGTTATCCATGATGTAAGGTTCACACACTGGGTTATACCTCACACGCTGAGGCATCCTACAATTTCTGCCCCAACTTTCAGCTCAGAGCCTGTCAATGGCAGACCCCTGCACTCCCTGATCTTATGGATCCGACCAAGGTGCCTCCTCAAACAGACCCTAACCCATCCCTCCGGGTGTAGACTGGGGGAGAATAGCAGGTAACAAAGGGGTGAAGTGCAGAGGGAAAGGGTCCAGGAGCGGAGTGCAGCTTAAGCCAAGTGGGAAGAAGGACGGGCTGCGGTGTCGTGGTGTTGTGCACAGGGCTCTCCCTCTACACTAACGCTTCCGGCACCCTCTGCGCCGGCGGAGGCGGGCAGAGCCGAGCAGGGAGGGGCTCCTCTGAGCGCCCACGCAACCTGAGCACACTCCCTCGGCCGCCCAGCACCAGGCACCGGGGGGTAGGCGGTCACTGATGCCACCAGACCGCGGACCGAGGCGGTCACTGCCTCTGCCTGGTTCCTCACTGTGCTCCAAAGACTCCCACACACCGTGGGACAGAGCGACTGCCCGGAGACGTGCGACCGAGGGAGGACGTCCTCCTCGGCCGCGCTTCCCTGCAGAGCACCGGCG